AACTAGGCCAGAGATCCTCTGTACTATAGAGAACCTATCTCTCCATACACTCTCTTAACCAAGGGTGTATGGGAAAAGAAGAAAAGGAAAAGGAAGAAATAGACCTGCTCTGATACCAAGATGCAAATCAGTCCTCAATATTAGGTGTAAATTTGAAGATTAGAAGGAAAGGAAGAAGAGGAGTAAGAGCAGCAATGCAAGAGAAGAAGATGGCGAAAAGATGGAAGAAGAAGAAGAAATCGAATCATCTCTCCTTTCTCCTCTAACCCTTTTTTTATTAAGAATTAAAGTTAAAGTAATGACAAGTATGCTCTTAAGTGGGCGGCCAGGTAGGCAGTAACATAAAGAGATTAAACAAAAAGAAATAACAGGCCCATTAACAGAGGCCCATTAGCCAACAATAAAAGAAATGATATTACAAGAGAATATACTAGGGCCCATTCGGCCCAGTCTCTTTATACATAACTTTCCAAATCCTAGCTAATAATCTTCCCAAAATTTAATTGTTGAGCCATCTCCAACTCTAAAGGAAAGAAGATTAAGGAAAGCTGATTGAAAACCACATAATGCCATTCCAAACACTCACTACATAAGAGGACCTTACTTCTTTGAAATCCCACCCGAACCCAATCACCCCATATTTGGATGCCACAACCCCTCTCAATAAAGCTTCCCTCCCAAATTCCCACAAGAGTTTCCCCAAGAGCGCCTTATTAAAAGGTTTCGACTTTCTAATTCCGAAACCCCCATCATTCTTCTCCCTACAGACCCTATCCCTCTTTACTAAATGAAATTTCTTTTCAAACCCTTCGACTCTCCATTAAAATTCTTTGCATTTTTTCTATCGAATTTACCATAGAGGAAGGTACTTTTAATAATGAGATGTACTGAAGCCGAGGGTCATTAATTCGGCTGTAGAGGCTATTAGGAGCTGGATGTCTATACATTCTGAATTCAAAGATAAAACTTCTGATTATATATTGTTTTTTGAGGGTGCCCCTTTTTTGAGGTCCTCTTTTGTACTGCTACTCATTGTACACAGGACCTTTTATTACTGTAAATAATACTTTATCTTTTCTCAAAAATGAGATGTAGAACACTGGAAGATTGGAAAGCACACTTATTATAGGAGTTATCCTCCCTCCAAGTGACAAGTATCTCCCCTTCCATCCTGCCAGTCTTTGACCTATTCTATCAATAATTGGTTGCTGAGTTGGTGACACCACCAAACAACTCAAAGATTGCAAACAATCTTCTAGGAGATTCTATGAAATGTTTCATACTCCAATCATCACACTTTTCATTAGGTTGATCTTTTGCCCTTCTAGCCCCTCAAATTGTCATCTGCAAATTGGGGGTGAGTAATGGGAACTCCATTTATACCTATTTTAAAACCCTCAAATATCCTACCTCTGCTCCTTTAAGCAATAAATGTTTTAAAACTTTTTCCACCAATACAAACAGTAGGAGAGAGAAAGGATTTCCTTGTCTTTTACCCCTTGAAACTTGAAAGAAGAGGTGTAGATATTTCATTAACAAGCACTGTGAAAGACATTGAAGAGACACATAAAACATCCAACTTCCCCACCTTTTCCCAACACCCGTTCTAGACATGAAGCCCCACTCAACATGATCTTAAGCCTTTTCAATATCAAGTTTGTAGATCAATCCCTTCTTGCCAGTTTTTAATCTTGTGTCCACACATTCACATGCAATCATCACTCCATTAAGAACTTGTCTACCTTGTACAAAAGCCATTTGGGTTGGACCTACTATCTCATGCAGTATTGCTCTTAACCTTCTAGTTAAAACCTTTGCCACAATCTTGTAAGGGCTTGAAATCTAACTGATTGGTCTGAAGTCTTTCACTTTACAAGCTCCCTCCACTTTGGGAACGAGGAAAATGAATGTAGCATTTGCACTCTTCTCAATCAACTTTTCCTTCTAGAAATCATTCATCATCGCCATTACATCCCCTTCTAGGATATGCCAACAGCTTTCATAAAACAAGAGATTAAAAACATTTGGACCTGAAGCCTTGTCACCCTTCATTTTGTTCACTGCTTCCCACACTTCCACTGCATCAAACTCTCTCTCCAGTCACTGTTTAAAACCCTCCCCAATTCTTCCAAACTCCATTCTTCCCAAAAATAATAAACAGAAATTCTTTATAATGGTTAATGTAGAAATTTATAATTGCTTCCACAACTCCTTTTGGATCCTTGATAACTCTATCTTCTTCGTCCAACCTCAACACATGAAAGAAAGGTGTATTCCTTATCTCCCTCCTTTAGCCATAAAGCTCATGATTTCTGCCTCTGCATTACTTCCTCCCTATGAATTACCTCCTTTAGTTCCCCCCTTAAGAGCATCTTTTCCCTCTTTGCTTCCCTTGATAGGATGTCCCTTTCTTCCATCCTCTCCAACTCTGCCATTTTATTGAGATTTTCTGCTTTTTTATTTGAAATGTGCCCGAACACCTCCTTATTCAACACTTTAAATCCTCCCTTAAGGCCATTAGCTGCTTCGTTAGAATAAAACCTGCCCTTCCTTCAAAGTAATAACTTCTCCATCTTTCTTCAACAAAATCCAAAAAATGTGGATGCTTCAGCCGCATGTTTTCAATTTTGAAAGGCTTCAGCCAGATGATATTTGTGTTATATTATCATATTATGATATCTAAATGTGTCAATTTGACAAGTAGCTATGTTATCAAATTACTGGTTAGAAGTATAGCCGTCAATTATGATCAGGTTTTATTGGGTCCGACCTGATAGTCCCAATTACAGACCCTATAGTGTCTGGTTTAGAAATGGTTCTGCATGTAATCAGGTCTGGTTGTATTTAGTGGATTCAACACTAAGTTAAAGCATACTTTCTGATTGTATTTAGTGGATTCAAGAGGGACAGGCGAAGTGGGATTTCTTACTGATGGTAACGGCATGTGTTATTTCAGGTAAGGCTAGAATGAATTGCGTTGATAAATCTGAGAAGTATACCACAATTTTTGGACTGAGACTCAGACCAATGTGATGATGTTTCTGAACTCTAAGCCTGCTGGGAAGACTGATGATCATGGTGACTGTGATAGTGTCTTGCTGCTTCTAGAGAGAGAGAGAGCCACTATGGGCTGGTTATGAAGATAGTTAGTGGCCAACATGGGCTAGACAGAAATGAGCCAAAATAAGCCAACAATAGACCGCATTGAGTCAACGAAAACTGCCATTATGGACTGGCTTTAGGAGTTGATCCAATAATGTCCCACGTCAGGCCCATAGTGGGTCAACAAAGACGAAAATGCCTCAATGAACTTCTTCCTTTTTCTTTGTTTTTGTTCCTGAAATGGGTCTCTATGGGCCAGATTGAAGAAGAGCAGCAGGGCTATCAAAAATTGTGTCTGAACACATTTGACTGGTGTGAACCAGATTGACTAGTCTGAATTGGTCCAACTGGGTTAATCATTTCTTCAAAAACACTTGTAGTGACAGCAGGGCCCATCCAGATTTGATATCATAGAGCTCATAAACATAACGCCATTCATAGTGACAGTGTACAACCTCCAATAATCAGCACAAAATATGGATCAACCAGTGCTGGGACATCTCAACCATGAAAAACTTTGAAACCAATATATTGAAAACATGTTCACCACTCTGGATGATTTGGATGAATGAAACAACCTTTGAGAAGGCTTTCGAGTCACCAGTAGCATCCATGAAGACGAGAAATGCCAGCGTTTGGAACTTGATCATTACACCTCACTTTCCTGTTTAATAATGGAATGCATACGATGACTTGATGCATACACAAGCAAATGAAAATAGAGCATAAGGCTTTAGAGCTGCACCAAATATTAGAAATCAATTAAATGATGAAGCACATTCTGGTCCAAAAAGGCAAAAACAAAACATTATACTCAAATCCAAGATAAGTTGGCGATCCGACAGCAGCGGAAGTGAGAGACTGACAAGCACACACTATTACAGATAACTCTGTTAATGATGATAGATGGTTCGGTTCATGTTTTCAATAGTATGAATGACCATCTTCATAGATAGTCGGGACAAGCTGCAAATTGAGGAAACCCAACTGTAATGGATATTGGCTTGGTCTGCTAACTCCAGGTTCGTTGGTAGTGATGGGAAATTCAAAAAATCTGGAATGAAAAATTAACAGATGTGATGAAGGTGTGTTTTTCTGGCAATGGAACTGTTCAGTAAGACCTTTAATGGTGATAGGAAAAAGACAGACCAACCTGTTATAGATGTTGGAGAATGATAAAGGTGAGGAATTTTTATGCAGTACCAAGTAAATGACCATGATATTTTCACATATGAGCAGAATAGGTCCTTTTGGACACAGGCACATCAAAGTGAATATTAGTGGGTGGTGGTATACGATAGAATGATTGAATTGGATAGAGAAAACAGAGGAGAAGTACCTCTATCATTAGACACAAGAAAATAAAACTATGAAGTAAACCTGAAGGAAGTGAGACAAAATAAAGAGTGGACCTATTGGGTGGCAAAGGTGCTGGCCTCCCGCTGGAAGAGTAGGAGCTAGCTGAACGACTTCTAGGCCTGATCTACCTTATGCTCCGATACCATGTTTGATTTCAGAGGATGGGAAGTATTGTATTGCTAAATCTAATAAATACATCACACAATTTATAGACTGAGAGACTTAGAGACCAAATTAAATCAAAGCTCCATCTTAAACTAATCACAAACCATCCCAAACTCTATTGTAACAACCTTTATCTTATCAATAGGACCCAAAACTTATCTCAATTCCCTAGCAGCATGTCAAGTTTATTTTCTTTATAATGGATATGATTTTATTGGTGTTGATTTTTATTTTTTCCAGCTAGTCAATTGCATAATGGCATGGGGAAATTATTTGTCTAATTATTTGGTTGAATAATGCTTTGATGCCTCCCTTTCATAGTTCAATTTTATTTTATGTAAAGTTGTCTTTAACATGTTCTATTATTTGGACAGGCATGACATTTTATTCTTTTGGGTGGCACGGATGATAATGATGGGGATCGAGTTCACAGGGACTGTTCCCTTTTCTAATGTTTATTTGCATGGACTCATCCGGGACTCTCAAGTAAATAATTAAATAAGTGTTTTGAAAATATAAAGAGCTAATAATTGATTGTGATTTAGGAGTACTTTAGTTGTAAGTTGTTACTTTATGTATTTGTGTTCTATGTTTTCTATTTACTAGGTGCATGGTTCTTGAACTGTATTAATGATTTGGTTTTGCTTTACTTACGAAGCATGATAATCATTTAGAACCATTTAGCAACTTATCTAAAAATCAGGGAGCAGAAATCATTGTAGTTGTAATTGTATCTTGCTCCATAATTGGACATGTTATTGATGGCTTTGTTTTTTGTAGTCTGTTGTAATGTTGTAATTCTGCTAGTATGTAGCTGCAGGGGGTATTTTTTGTCTTTTCCATTTTTTTTTTTAATTCCAATCACTTGTTATCTCCTTGTCTGCTTTTGAGATTAATCTATTAAGCACATCTGTCACCAGTGTATGAAGGCAACGGGAGAGAGGATCACCTTGTCTTAAATCCTTGTAGGCTGAAAAAAAACAAACCCGTCACCACTCCATTAACTAACACAGAGTAATGAATTGAATTGAGGCTGCCAAAAACCCTATTACACCATCTTTCCCCAATCCCAACTCCTAAGTACCTCTAAAAGGAAACTCCAATCCAACTTACAAGCAACAAATCTCCTCATTCCTTCACACGCATTGGTTATTAGAATCTGATCGGCTGTTCGCCTTCCTTGTACAAAGTCTCCTTGAGCATGACTAATAAGAGACAGGAGAACCACTTTAATTCTCAAAGACATCTTTGTCAAGATTTTATAAATACTTGTCACCAAAATAATGGGCTTGAAATCTTTAGGGTGTTTAGCATCAATCATTTTAGGAACAAGAGCTTGGAAATTCTAAGCAAGGCTTTTGTCACCAAGGGTTCCTAGCCTAACATAATAAGATAGTGGTCAAAGGTAACTCTAAGCAAGGCTTTTTTCACCAAGCCCCTCCAAAGGCTTTTGTCACCACACATTATTTCTACAAACAAATTCAGAAATAGTAGTAGAAAGTAAACACAAAGAAATTTGTAAAGCCTGTGGTTTCTTGAACTCCAAAGTAAACAGTCAGCCCAACGTATGCCCTTTCCTCCTCACCTTCTGTACTAGTCCTGAATCAAACATCCATCATGAGAAAAAGAAACCCATGTGAAAGCTACTTTTCCTAATTTAGGGCCATTCCTACAACCCTAGAACTAGCTTAAACCTATGTGAAAGCTAACCTATGGTTGATAGTTTCTCTATTGGTAAAGGCTGCATATATAAGCTCCAAAATTTCCCAAGGGATGATCCATGAACCTTAAGAGCATTCCCAAGCCTTCCCCAAATCACTATCATCATCTGAGCCTTGTCCTAATTATATGGTATCAGCTACGTGGATCTCTTTTACCATTCCATTATGTGGTCTGCCCAAAAACAGAGGATATAGGTAAGGAGTAAGGACAAATAAAATAAAAAATGCAGAACTGATTTGGGATGAGATTAGAAGAGAAGAGGAGAAGATGGAAGAAAATGGGGCTGTGGCAGAGAGGAAGAGAAAACTAACTAGTTCTAAGCCTCTAACTGCCACCCCTCTTTTATTACAAAGTCTGAAGTACCCCTACTTAAGTAATAAATAAAAGTGAAATAAAAAAGGTAAAAAGACTCTTATACCCTGCAACCTAATACAATTAAGAAACTAGATAATTTCTAACACTCCCCTTCAGCTTGCTACAAATGTAAAGAGGGCAGCCAACTGATCTTCTGACCTCACATACAGGGTAATCAATTCTCTGTTAGTGACCTTTTCTCTGACAGAATGGCAGTCCACTTCTATATGCTTGGTTCTTCCATGAAATACCAGGTTGGACAAGATGTGAATTGCAACTTGATTATCAGAGTACCCCTAAACTAAATGAAATGTCTAGTCTGGTGACAGTAAGATAAGTTTTACCACCAACCTCTTGTACCTTCATGGATCTTCCAATAGCTTCCCCTCACTATCAATGATCTCTGTTGTTTGGGTTAATAGGGGTTTTCAACTGGCTTAGCCCCTAGTAACCATGTTTTCTCTAAATGAACACTGCACCCAATGTAAATCACACTACTAATTCAGTACTAAATCCCCTAAGCCAAGCACATGGTGACCGTTTCAAACCATGAATTGCTTTCTTTAACCCACACACCACCTTCGCTACGTCCCCTGGGCAACATACCTAGGAGGTTGCTCCAAATTAACCTCCAATTACCCATAGAATACCCATTTTGGCAACTGGGGAGGTCTCAGTATAGTCAACCTCATGCATTTGAGTGTACCTGTTTTCTACCAATCGTGCTTACTATCGATCAAAACTACTACTAGGGCAATGCTTAGTTCAGTGATTTAAAAGGCATGCTTAGGTGCACAGGGGAGGCGCATTTCAGGGTGTGCACCTCGCCTAGGTCCTAGGACTAGGCGTGCGCCTTTTGAAAATTGATGCTTTTTTGCTTTTTTTTTGAATGTAGCGGCTGGGCTGGGGGCAAGCCCAAACGAGAACCCCCAATTTGGTACTGTTGCTCATTCATTCATCCTAATAAAATGTCTTCTTAAAAAGCAATTAAAACTATAAAATCATTATTTTTTGTGTGAAAACTAAGAATTTAAGACCTGACGTGGACTTGTTTGGGCTAGCCTCGAGGGGCGTGGCACAAAGATGGCTTGTAGAATCAGGAATGTAATATGTTTTACATTACATTAGCTACTCGAAGTAATGCAATTGAGTGAAAAAAGAGATTAGAGGTTTTACATGCTTGAAAATGTTTTATATGTTTGATTTTATTTTTAAATTCTCATTTGAATATGCTGTACATCTTATGTTTATGTATTGTAATTTTAGATAATGGGTTTTTTAAAACATTTATTTTAAAATTTAAGTTTATATTTTTTATTAATATTATGTTTAATATTTTTTAATATTTTTGGCTTTTTTTTTGAATTTTCTGGCATTTTTTGAATTTTTAGCATTCTTTTTGTATTTTTGTGCCTTGCTTCAAAAAGCTGCATGCCTCGCCTTGCGCCTTGCACCTTGTGCCTCAGGTGCAATTTGACCCCTGCGCCTTTTTTGCGCCTTGCGCTTTTAAAACATTGGCTTAGCTGTATAAACCCATTTGCACCCTATTGCCAATTTGTTGATAGGCAAGGAGGTGAGCTTCCATGTATGGTTAAATTCAAAAGCATGAAACTCTTCATCTATCACCTTCTTCCATTCAGGTGAGGCAAGGGCTTCCTGAAAAGAATGGGGAACAGATATAGAAGAAAAGACACAAACTGGTTGTAGGAAGGAGACAAATAAGCAAATGACACATAACGGTGAATAGGATGATTGGTACAAGCACACTTGCCCTTCCAAAGTGCAATGGGCAGATCTGTTGGCAACAAAAATGATTATGGCTTGAAAAAAGTCGGAGTTGGAGAAAAAATCCCTTGTAGTCCTTTAGTGTACCCTCTGTGAACAGGTGCTCACATAATAGCCTCAACAGTGGGAGCTGGTGGGTTAGCAATTGGCAAGAATCCTCTATAGTAGGAGGAAGAGGCAGGGGAGAGGAGGAGATGAAGGAAACTCTACTGTAGAGAAAAACAGTACACTCTCAAAAAAGAAACACCAAGGACAAAAGACCAACGAAGGGAAGGATTATAACATCTATAACCTTTATGGGTTCGAGCCAGAAACACACTTTTAAGAGAACGAGATTTAAGCTTATCCGACCTGGGACCAAGTTTGAGAACAAAACAAAATAAAAAATACGACAGTGAAGAAGAAAAGGGAGGTAAAGAGAGAAAAATGAAGGAGAAAAGGGACTCACCATTAAAAACAAACAAAGGTATATGATTTAGAAGAAAGCAAGACGTAAGTACAAAACCACTCCAATAAACCTTTGGGACAAACATCTGAATTAGGAGAGCTTGAGTTGTATCTAGTGTTTGTTCTTCTAGTTACACTGTTTTGTTAGGGTGTGTGCAAACAAGAAGACTGGTGGATAGTTCCATGAGATCCAAAAAAGACTGAAGGGTCCTTGAGAATTCTCCATTGAATTATTAGAATGAAACATTTGAATAGAAACACCAAATTGGTACTGAATCTTAGCATAGAACGAGAAAAAATATTAAACAATTCTGATGGGGGGCCATGCAAACCATAGTAGAAATTCACCATATTCTCTTCATGTCCAGTGACTACACTAATGCACTGCTCCGCATCCACTACCACCTTTACCTCCTCTACCACCACCATGACCACCTCTGACTCCATGTCCAACTCCTCTCATAACCACATATACCTCTGACATGAAAGTGTTCTCATTCTGAGGATTGAAGCTCTTTCTAATGCAGAAGAAAACTTCTAAGAGGGGTGGGATGTCATTATACTCAATCTGAGCACTTACTGGTTCAAATTCAACTCTCAGCCCAGACAAAATCTAGTCACATATAGATGTTCTCTCTGTTCCCGTTGTACCTTCAAATTCCTCAAAGTTGCATAATACTCTTCTACACTCTTGTCACCTTGTTGAAGAGTGAAGCAATCCTGATATTAGTTAATATTATCCTTGTTACTAATGTGATTCTCATAACTGTTCCAAATCCATATCATAATTAGTGCATTATTTTGCACCCAGTTATTCTACCCATCAGCTCCACTTTTGACTTGTCTTCTTTAATATATTTCAATTAACCTTTGACAATAAGAAACACTTCAACTGATACATAATTAAGCGCAGCTTGACAGAAGTCATTTGAACTGTCATATTGTCTGGTGTACCACCACAGCAGACTTAAACTTTCATTATTTGATGACACCATAAGGCTGATTTCTCTCCAGTTGCAGCCCAAGAACAAAACTACCAATCAACTCTTACTAACACCACACAGTCAAGATCCGACAAGGCACTAACTACTGGGAAACACTTTCAACAGCCAGAAGTAAATAAAAAACCAACTTCTACCAATTTCGATTCACTTAATCTACCAACTGAATATCTAAGCATGTAAATAATACATCGCCCTACTGTAATGATCTACCAAATCACCACAATCCAAAGGAAAAATCATTCAACCAACCTGTTACAGCCTGTTTTTCCTCTGAGTTATCCAAAGGAGGATTCTAGCAGCTCACCAAAACCACACAATCTTCACCAACTGGAGGCATGATTGCCTCCTATACTGAAAAATGATCACTCCTTTCCTGCCTTCCTTTGATTCTTCAACAGATGCAGACGTTCTCATGTAGCAAAGGGACTGAAAGGCACTAATAGTAACCCAGGCCGACCAAAGGTGCTCTAATACCATGTAATCTGCCCCAAAAACAAACAAAACAGGTAATGAAAAAAAAATAGAGAACTGATCTGGGCTGAGATTTGAAGAGAAGAGGAGAGGAAGGAAGAAAATAAGGCTGTGGAAGAGAGGAAAAGAAAACTAGCTTCCTGTAACTGCTGCCCCTCTTTTATTATAATCATAGAGTTGTGCACAATGTCTGAAATACCCCTACTTAAGTAACAAATAAAGGATAAAAAGACTCTTATACCCAACCACCTAATACAATTAAAAAATCAAATAATTTCTAGCACATTGTATTCAATGCCATATGCATTCTTAAATTATGAATGCTTAAATCATTTGGTCTGCCCCTAGCTCTAGCCCCTTCAACTTGTAAAATCATTGGTCTTCTCTGCATGTGACCAAACCATCTTAGTCTACTTTCCCTCACTTTATCACCTATTAGATATACTCTTAGGTTTCCTCCATTGAATTATTTATGATCCTGTTGTTTGTTTTTCTACTCATCCATCTCAACAGTTTCATTTCTTCCACACATTTTTTAGATATGTTATTTTCTGACTGCTCAACATTCTGCTCCATAAAATTAATTGTCTTACGAACAGTTTTATAAAATATTACTTTCAGCCTAAGTAGTATTTGCCTATTACATAAGACTTTGGATGCATCCTGCAATTTTCCCCATCCTGCTCTAATTCAATTCCTTCCCCAAATCCTAAAACTTAATCCTAAGAATCCCACCTATCTTCCCTGCACTGTTACAAAGAGATGGAGAGAGAGACTATTCCTGTTTTTGTTCTTAGAAGGAAGAGGAAAGACAAGTGTAGGGGGAGAGAGAAACAAGGCAGTCTCACTTTTGCTTTTGTTGACATGCACAAACAGGTAGAAAGAAAAGTATTGGTTTGCCCTTGTTTTGGTTTAAGCACACAGTTTTCTCTCATTATATTTTATATTCTTTATCTTTTGGCATTCATATGTGATTGGAATCAGTTAGAGTTTGATTTGCTAGAATACATACATACATATACACACGCACCAAAGGAATGAGCCCCTATTTTGTCCACCTGACCGCTATGGCTTTTTTTCTAGCCGTAGCTCTTCTTAGTTGTTTTGTCATGCACAGACATTCCTAAATCTTACAACCAAGCTGTAGTAATTAAGCATTGTAAAGATGCTATGGACTTAGAGGTTCAGGCTTTATTGGAGAATGACACTTGGGAGCTTGTCACTCTTCCCCCAGATGCCTCCATCCTTGGTAGTTGATGGGTTTACACAGTAAAACTTAAATCAAATGGTACTTTAGACAGATATAAGGCTTGGTTGGTTGCTCAAGGCTACAAGCAAGAATATGGAATTGACTATGATGAGACTTTTGCTCAAGTGGCCAAAATGACAATAGTCCGTTTTACTCTTGGCCATTACTGCTATTAGACAATGGACAGTTCATCAAATGGATGTCAAAAATGCCCTTCTCCGTGGGCATTTACAAGAAACAATTTACATGAAACCACCTCCCGGCTACTGTGATGATCCTCTTATGGTGTGTAGAAGAAATCTTTATATGGTCTTAAACAAGCTCCATGGGTTTGGTTTGACTGCTTCGGTACAATGGTGTTGGAGGTTGGCTTTCAGCAAAGTGCTTCAAATTACTCTCTTTTCACTCTCCAGCAGACACAGGGGTTGACTCTTTTCTTGGTATATGTTGATGATATACTTATCACCGGAGATGATGTGGATGACATTAACAATTTGAAGCTCCTTCTAAGAAACTCCTTCAAAATGAAGGATCTTGGGCCTGTCACTTATTTTCTTAGGCTTGAAATTCAGTGATGTCCTCAATGTTATTTTGTTAACCAACAAAAATATGCCTATGATTTGGTGACACTTGCCCGCTTGACTGATTCTAAACAAGCGGATACACCTATGGAGCTTAACCATAGGCTAAGCAAGGATGAGGGTGAGCTTCTCCTTGGTGCTACTTTATATCGGCAGCTTGTAGGTAGTCTTATCTTCCTAACTATGACTGGACCGAACATTTACTATGTGGTCCAGCTTGCGAGTCAGTTTGTATCTGCTCCACATTAGCCCCACTTCTCTGTGGTTCTCCGACTCATCTGTTATGTTAAGGGCACTCTATCTCATGGCTCGTTTTTCTCATCTTCGTCCTCCACCTAGCTTCGAGCTTATGTAGATGCAGATTAGGCAGGTTGTCCTGACACTCGTCATTTCACTACTGGATTGTGTATATTTCTTGGTGATTCTTTGGTTTCTTGGAAATGCAAGAAACAACAAACCATTTCCAAGTCATTTATAGAAGTAGAGTATAGAGCAATGTCTTCAGTATGTATCTGGCTCAAAAAAGTCCCTAGAATATTTTTCTTCAACAAAGCTATGACCTCTTCACCAAAGCAAAGTATAGAGCAATGTCAGCTTGCTGACCTCTTCACCAAAGCTATGACCAAAGCCTGACATAATTTTCTTATAGACAAACTGATGCTTATCCCCCAACATCAGTTTGAAGGGGAGTATAGAGAAGATGGAGGGTAGTTATGTAATTTTATCTTTCTTGTATTTTAGTAGGTGTGTACATTAGTGTACATCTTATTGAATTCTTTTGTAAGGACAAACTTGTCCATTCATATTTCTTTAATATAAATACTATCCTTTGGGTTGGTTTGATTAGATTGATCAATCCTAACAGATCTAGACTATTGGCTTTCCTCTTGTCTCTTCACTTTCTCACGAACTAATACATAAAACCTAATCCCCTCTAACACACACTTATAACAGTGAAACCTTAGTTCCCCTAAACATGACTACACCTAAAAAAGGACAAACTGAAGAAACATAACAAGAGAACATCACTGAACAACCCTTATTACCCCTCCCTCTTGCTCCATTGGAGGCTTCCTCAAAAAATTTGCAGGCTTATTATGTTCAAGCTCCCTTCTTTCCCCAACAATGTTCCAATTTAAGGGATCCCTTTATTCAAGTGTCACAAAAAGTCCCTAGAATAATCATACTGTTCTTCTCCCAGAAACCCAATTTGTTTATGTTCTTCAGTCATGCAAAGTAGCTATTGGACCCACCATCATCTTGAGTTTTACAATGATCATCCCTTAGTAAGTCCTTCTTCTTAAAGCTATTCTTACCCTTGGGTTCCCGATAGGAATAACCCTTTCTGCTCTAGGCATCTAAAAAAACTTGCGCGCCAAGCTTCTTGGATTATCCCAATCAAGTAGCTAACAATCATAGTTCACAATATTGATGATATTTGGTGAAATATCCCCATTTGCTAGGTGGCAATACAAAGTCTTCTGGGAATCTTTTTTTTTTTTCAATTATTCATAATATTCTTCCGATATGTTGGCAACAAGGTTCAAAATATCGATACGCTTCTATGTATCGGTAGAGGCATTTCGATATGCATGTTTTGTTTTCTCTTAGTTTTTTTTTTTTCAAAACTTGATTTTTGGGCATGTTTTTTAAGTTTTTTTATTAAAATAAAGGGAGGGTCTGGAAACACCTGTAAACAGGTGTATCAGGACCCAAAAGATACGATACGATACGCCCGATATGGGGTGTATCATATCGAAATTTTGAACCTTGGTTGGCAATAATTCAAATTTCATTTATAGACTATATTTAAATTTTAAAATTTTAGAGTATTGTTAAAAACCTTTTAATATTTCATTAAAGTCATCATAAATTCAAAATTTTTAAAAATTATTTTCTTAAAAGAATCAGCAAGGAATTGGTGATTGGATAATTGGCTTACTACTAGGATATGATTCACTTACTATGTCACTATAATTCAAAAGAAAAAGAAAAATTCATATAACTACAAAGGGGTATTCTCAATATAATCAAAATATATAGTAACATCAAAAGCAAAAGTTAAAGTGGCAAGTAATTAGCATATATAAAGAAGAAAAGATGGCTAAAGACCAAAAGGGATTTATATAGTTTTTTCCTATTTTATTTGTATACTTCTTTTGCTATGGTTTTTTGAGCCTTAAATGTGCAATTGTATTTCTTCTAATGATCTCTTTAAGGTTTATTAACTAATTCCAAATATCTTATCAAAATTAGCGAAATTTCTCCAACTCTACATGGTGAAATGTTCATCAATATTGAACTTACAAACCATGCCAACAATAACCTACCTTCCCCAACAACTACCTCCCAATTAGCTTGCAATATTCAACATGTACTCCTTGGATGAAGAGTAATGAAAAAATTAATATCAATGTTCTCATACAACATTTAGTTGCAAAAATTAAATTAAAATGTTATTTCATATCTCCCCTTAATTTCACTTGTTAAGTTTATTCTCTTATATGTTATTGCAATCCGCTTAATTTCAGGGACGAAAAATGTCTAAAACATTGGGGAATGTTATAGATCCAATTGACACGATAAAAGATTTTGGCACAGATGCTTTACGTTTTACTCTTGCTTTGGGAACTGCTGGCCAGGTTTGTTTAGCCTCTAAAGTTTTAGAAAGATGTTGGACTTAAGCTACTTTAAAGTTTCAGGAAAGATGTTGCACTTAAGCTAGTTTTTTCTTTTGGTACCTAATTTTGTTGCTAGTTGTTTCTTCATGAGTAATTACTTAATTCTACTTCTTTTAGGACCTTAATTTGTCAATTGAGAGATTGACTTCGAACAAGGCCTTCACTAACAAGTTATGGAATGCCGGCAAGTTTGTCCTACAGAACTTGCCCAGTCAAAATGATACCTCTGCTTGGGAAAACATACTAGCTTATAAGGTATGCTATTTCTGTCTTTTTCCTTGCCAATGAAATTGTGATAACTTCCTGTACTGTAATTCAGTGTGTTAAAAACCAAATGGAACAAGATGGCGAGACCAGGCTCAACCAGAACTCACAATTCCAATTCAGTTCTATTATTGAATCTAGTTGAGTAAAAACTGGTAGGAATAAATCGAACTGTCTGATTTTTATGGACAACCTGGTCAACTGTCTGGAATGCTTGATTGAACCAAAAGTAAGTGTCAAATGCATGGCATGGTTGACTCAACAAGCAGTAATTCAACAAAAAAAGGGAAAAAACAGAAACACATTACTTGGTTTTGTTATTCCTTAGGGGTTTCTAACTTTATCTTATTATACAGCATTCTCTGGAAATTCTATCTCAAACATGTTACTTAGATTTCTAGATCCAAAGTAAGGGAGAAAAAAATAGAGACAATTGTCAGATGTGAAAATATGGAATTATTATTGTGTTGCTTAAGTTTTTGCAGTCTTCATTTCATGCAAAAGTGTTATCTAAATTTGACTGGAGAGAAGCTATGAATCTGGAAATAGACACTAATTTAAAAAAAAAATGGGATTGAGCTTTCAAATGACAGGTATCTAGTTGGATGCAAATGGCTATTCACAATGGAAAGGTATTGTTAGAGTCAGCTAAACCGGGTTATTTTAGTCTTTCCACTCTTATTTATTAAGTTTTGTTTTGACCCTTTTATTTTAGTTAAGTTACATGTCCCATACTTAAATTGGGGCATAATAGTCTTTATATTCTTTGGCAAATCTATATAAAGTTGAGGTTGGATGCAAGGTCAAAGTATCGGTACTTTTTTTTAGGTTTTATTTATTTATTTTCAAAACCGGTTCAGAGGGGTCAGTTTAAGGCCCGACTACCCTCTGAACCAGTGTCTGACCCAATACAATCCCTGGAGGGGTGTATCGAGAAGCCATTGGCATCATACATATCGGCTGATACGGGCCGATACATATCGATACTTTGAACCTTGGTTGGATGGGTGAGAAATTAGACTCTCCAGACCGGACCATTATTTCTCTTTTCTCTTCTCTTCTCCTCTTCTTTCTCTTTCCCTTTTTATCAACGACTGCAGCCAGCAAGAACCGAAAAACCATTAAAACATGGTATAAGAGCACTAAGAAGGGAAAAGGAAGCTGTGATGCTACTCTCTACTCTCTAGGAGATTGTGATCATTCCAGTTTTGTTCTTTTTATTTCTGGGTTGCGGTGTGAAAAATAGATCAGTAGAAAGCTGCAGAAACCTATTTTCTTCTACCCAGTTGACTGCTGTCATTATGAGTGAAAGTCTTGGTGTTCACTTGGTGACGTTTGCCCTCTGTCGTGCAGTTTCAGGAGGGTATTTTTGTGGTTGACAGTGTAGATGTCCACTGAAGCTGTGATCTGTGTTTTCATGGTGAAGATAGTGGCAGAATGTGATTAGAGTTCTCTCTTACATTCTCCCGTTTTTCTGTGAGGATTAAATAGTGCTGTATAGATGATAAGTAGGCTGCCGTAATGCCCAGGTAATAACAGATTTCATGTGTGGATGTTTGTTTTTGTGAGTTAGCAGTTGAGTAGTGATCAAAAATCAAGTGTAATGATTCCCCCTGATTATCTAAGTGTGGAAATTGCACCGATTAAACTCAATGATGAGAATTATGTACCGTGGGCCATATTGCTGGAAGTTTTTCTTAGGGCCAAGAAGAAGGTGAAGCATTTGAAAGATGAGAAACCCTTGGCTGAATCTCAGGGGTATAGTGAATGGGAGCAAGAAGATGCTCAAATTTATGACATGGTTGTGGAATAGTATGGAGCCCAAAATGTGTCAAAATTATTTTTTTAGATACAGTCAAGGAGATATGGAGTCATCCTAAGAAACTTTATTCTGGTCAAGACAACACCATAAGAGTGTATCAACTCTACCAAGGTTATTTCAATCTACGTGGATGACCTTGTAGTGACAAGTAACAATCCGACTAAGATCTACAAGCTAAAGTTTCTAGTAGCAGATTCAAGATAAAAGACCTTAGCCATCTATGATACTTTTTGAGTGTAGAGGTTGCTTGGTCTAAGCAGGGATTATTCATTCCTTAATGCATGTATGTATTATGTCTTCTCAGGAATGCTGGTAACATGGGGGTTAATACATTTGGCATTCCTATTTGATCCTAATCATAGACTAAGTGCTGGTGGTGTAGACTTGTTAAAGGACAAGAGTTAGTATCAAAGACTAGTTGGATAACTCCCATACTTATGTCTTACTAATGGTTCATGAGATTGGCAATACATGGGGAACCTTGTAGAAATTTCCCCGCTTTGCTAGGGGATGTTACAAAATTATCAAAGAATCATTTTTTCCTAATATTTCCTTATATATTTTCAATATATAGGCAATATTTCAGGTTTCATTGATAGACTATACATTTAAGATTTAAAATTTTATAATATCATTAGAAATTTGCAAATACTTCATCAAAACCCTCATTTTTTTTTTCTAAAACTTTGTTCTTAAAAGAACAAATAGGGATTGAATGATTGAATGGTTGTTTTACTATTTTTATACGATTCACCCCCTTATTGCTAATGTTATTTGTTCATTCTTCTTAATGCAAGACATTTCTTTTAAAAGATAATTAAAATTATAAAGACGTTATTTTTTGTATGAATTAAGAATTTAAGACCCTAACATGGATTTATTTGGGCTTGCTCGAGGATCTGGGGGCAAAGCCTTTGGCCCAATCACCATGCTTCAAAAAGTGCAAAATTTAACCAAGGCACGTGCCTGAACTGAGGCACAAGGTGTACACCTTTGCAAAGGAGTTGCACCTCGGCCTAGGCGAGGCGCGGACTTTGAAATGCACATTGCTGGTGTTCCTAGGCATGCCGAAGGTACACCTTTTCAAGTTGTTGGGATATGAACCTAATGTTCAGCATCTTTTAGTACAATGTGACCACTCATATTCAAATCCACATTCTCTTGCTTGTTATCCCAAGATTTTACAACTATGCCAAACAATGACCCATATTTTCTCTCTAAAACAAATAATCAATCACACAAAAGATTCAAATATCTAGTTTGAATGAAATATAATCAAACTGGCAAAAACTAATTGCCATTGCGAAAGCATTTCCTCTCTCTCTCTCTCTAATAAATGTTATATGTATTAAATTTGTATTAATAGAGGGAGATAATTTTTATTGGCTTGAGCTTGGCACTATGCTTTGTAACATATCTGTTTGTTGTTTCCTTTCCTATTGTTGTTATTTCCAACATTTTGTTTTTTGTTTTTTTTTTTGTTTATGGTAACAGATAATATTATTTACATATGTTTGTTGAGTATAATTTCAAGCATATAGTTTTTCTAATTAAGAGGACTATGATTCTTTCCAGTTTGATATGGAGGAGTTTTTGTTCAAATTACCTTTGCCAGAATGTTGGGTGGTAAGTCAGTTGTTAATTCACTGGGATCTGAATTTCTCTTCTCCCCATGATTGATCAGAAAATATGTTCAATTTCCAGGTCTCAAAACTTCATCAGCTTATTGACACTGTTACAACAAGCTATGACAAGTTTTTCTTTGGAGATGTTGCAAGAGAAACCTATGATTTCTTTTGGGGTGATTTTGCTGATTGGTATGTTTCTCTTTTTATTTCTTTACACATAAAAGGATTTCTTTTTATAAGTGACTTGGGGCATGGAGACCCTGTGGAAAGCTATGAACCATACTGCAGCCTTTTTCAAAATTGAAAGGGGCACAAACAAACTTCTATAGAAGAAGGCCTACGAACACTTAAAATGATCTTGAGCGAACTCTCCTCTAAATGCAAAAACTAGTTCGTTCTAAACTCAGAAAATCTAATTCCTTCTAGCCTTCTAATAAAGACATTGATATCAACTTTGCACCAATCAAAGCCTAGTAGAGAAAAGGCAAAGAATGTAGAATTTATATGTTGTGTAAAAAACTATCCACTTCCCTAGAAACTTATCTATTTAAATGTCAACATTCTTGGCCAAATAGAGAAGAGAACAAGAATAATCTTAGAGGTGTGCAGAATAGTCGACCCCCACCTCAGTTTGCCTACAAGAAAGAGTTCTCGAGTTCTAGTCATAGCCTTGGTGAAGGTATCAGCAATTTGCATGTCCGAGGCTACATGAGGAAGTGATATAAATCTAACAATGAAAAGGTCTTAGATAAAGTGGCAATCCACCTCAATGTGCTTAGTCCTGTCATGGAAGACAGGGTTAGATGCAATCTTGATAGCATTCATATTGTTTGCATAGAGAGGGATAGGAGTAGGAAGTTGATTTCCAGAATTCATAAAGAGAGATTATAACCAAACAATCTCACTGGAAACAGAAGGCATTGCCCTATACTTCGCTTTAGTGGAAGAGTTGGAGATTGTCTGTTGTTTCTTAGACTTCCAAGAGATGAGTGAAGCACCCATAAAGACACACCACCCAGAAGTGGACCTACGGATGTTAGGGTAACCAGCCCAATTTGCATCAACATATGCTCTCAACTAAATAAGAGAGGAAGAGAAGAACAGTCTCTGAGAAGTCGTGCCTCAAATATAACGAATGATGTGATGAACAACAATCATATTAGGCTAACGAGGAGTAAAAATAAATAGATTAACAACATGAACAACATGAGAAAAATCATGCCGAGTCATAGTGAGATAAATGAGACCCCACAAGCTGGTGTCTAGCGATACAAGGTAGTGTTAGGAAGCAATGGACCTTCGGATTTTGATAACATTCAACTCTAGAGGTGTATGAACATGTTTCTCATTAGTAATGTTAGCAAGTTTAACAATGTTAGAGGCATATTTATGTTGACAAACAAAATACCCCCGATCACTACTAGGAATGCCAATGGGGAGGGTTTGAGGCGGGGCACCCCCTCCCTGTCCCCGTCCTGTAGTCAAGATACTTTGCCTTGTCCCTAATGGTGGGGCGAGGCATCCACTCCTCGTCAGGGATAAGGAATCCCCGAATTTTCCTCCCTCCAAGACAATTACTTAAAAGTTATCTATTTATGGACAATTTACACAGGAATAGGAATTTGGGGTATTCTAGGAATTGAATTATAATACTTTAGGGGTAATTCAAAAATGGAATTTTGGGACCCTAGGGTTTTAAGAATTTAGGAAAAACTTAGAGATATTTTAAATATCAATATTAAACCTAGAGATATAGGTGAGGGGGCTCAAGTCCTTCATATGAAAGGAATCATGAAGTAAGGACTTCAACTCACAACTCACAAATACCTTCATCATAATTCCTAGTCAATATCATGTCATCAACATACAACAAAAAAATGGTAATACCTTGAAGTCATCACCTAACAAAGACAAAGTGATCAGAGGAACTCTAACTATATCCAGTAGCACCTACAACATCTCCAAAGTGTTCAAACCATGCCCAAGGATCCTATTTTAGACCATATAGGGATTTTTTGAGGCAATATGCTGAAGAAGAATCACTGCAATATCCAGGAGGCGGCTTCATGTAGACTATCTCCTTCAATTGACCATGAAGAAAGGCATTCTTCACATCTAACTGGCAGATGGTCTAAGATTGGATAGCAGACAATGCTAAGAAAAAACAAACAATGGTGATCTTAGCAACGGGGCAAAGATTTCTTCATAATCAATGCCATACTCCTAACTATATCCCTAGGCAACTAATTGAGCCTTGCATCGATCAAGAGATCCATTAGATTTCAACTTAATGGTGTAAACCCAACGGCTCCAATAACGGAAGCATTTGGAGGCACAAGTACAAGGTCTCAAGTGTCATTCTCATGTAAAGAATGTGAATATCTGCATCCATGGCTTCCTACCAATAAGGGCTACTACGGCTTCCTGATAGGAGTGAGGAATATTTGTGGAAGATAACATTAGCAGACAAAGAGCTATGGTTTAAAGGAAAACCATATTGGTTAGGAGCTCTAGAGATACAAGTAGAATGGCAAAGAGGAACATAGGTAAGAGGAGCATCTGAAATAGTAGTAGCAGAAATAGAAGTATCACTTATAGGAGCAGTGGTGAGATGATGATCTGAACTAGGTGGAAGGGGGGTCGCAGGCACAAGGACTAAAGTGCATAACCACTTGCAAGAGAAGATGAAAAGGTCCTTGGCAGTAGGAGGTGGAGCATCCTATGAATCAAAGTTTGGCAAAATAGAAATAGATGAAGCAGGCAGTCTAGCAATTCTAGCAAAAAGGGAGATATGCTATTTTTCAATTCATATTCATGCTGATTGTATGTAAAATTATGTAACTAACCTAGAACTTAGTTTTTTTAATAAAATGGCTACTAGGTGCTCCACAATCACCTAGAATCACCCATGAACCTTAACAACTATGGTTAGGTGGTTTATTTTCATTCTTCGATCAAACAGATTGGATTATCTTGCGATGGTTGATTTCTTCTACTTGCACCCTAGGTACATTGAAGCTAGCAAAGCACACCTTTACCACTCAGAAAGTTCTGCAATTGCATCTGCAGCACAGGCAGTTCTTCTATATGTTTTTGAGAATATATTGAAAATTCTACATCCCTTTATGCCATTTGTCACTGAGGAGTTATGGCAGGTATTTTTTTTGCTCCCTAGTTATTTTTAACCTTGATATGTTTGAATTAAAACTGCCCTCAAATTGGATATACTTTGTCCATTCATGTTTGTTTTCTACTGTGTTGAGCTTTGCCCAAACTTGCTAACAATCTCATCTTTGTAAAAAAGGGGCATGTTTCCTTTAGAAGATCTAAAACATACTGCAACGAAAAAATAAGTGTGCCTTTTCTTTGATCTTGCAACTTCAATTCTCAAAGAATATTTCAAGTTGCTTAATCCTTGATTACAAATTCTATGGCAAGAAAATTTGCCTGCCACATAATTTCAATAGTCATTTCCTGTAACCAGTGTTGCATGCATGCAGACATGGGAGTCTCGTAAAACAGAGAACATGGACTTGTGGACATATCTTTGGCTAAGTGCATACTATTAAAATAATTCATATTTTTTGAATTCTAACATTGTATACCACTATACCTGCAAAAGAAAACAAAAATCTTGTTGTGTAATGTTTAATACAAAAATGGCATTCATTCCATAAATTAGCTGCTCATTTATGTCAAATAAGGTAGAAGGAAATGTCATGTAGAAGTGTCATCAAGAATCTATGGAGTGCCAAACTCCAATGCATGTCCAACAGGAATACATTATCCATTTAGGGGAGTCCAATCAGCACTGCCTATAACCACTATGTTATCAACATTGTTGAGAGATCAAACTCTTGGTGGGCCTGTTATGTATTGTTATTTCCTTTTTGTTTGGGATGTACTATGTTAGTGGGTGATGAGTTTTGGGCAGATTTGTGTTTTTATTTATTTTGTATTCACATTCTGCCCCAGCTGACTTAAGGAGAGGGAAGAATAGTCTTTTTCTTGTGCATTAAGAATTTAATATAAGTATTAGTGGGTTCTCACTTTGTCACCCATGAACTTGAGGATTTCTTCAATTTCCTTTTTTTTGCTTCTCTTCTCTTCTTCTACCTTTCTCATTGCTGCAACTCTTCTCAGTTTTCTGCACACATTTGTTTAAGTTTGCTGGGTTTATTGTAAATTAAATCTGATGGAGGCCCATCACAAGGCCCATCGCACCCTAGGGGCGGCAGCTCCTAGGATAAGGGCAAGTCAAGATAAGGTCCAAGAATGATAAGGCAAG